ACTTGTAGTGGAAGAGGATGTCCTGTTGTTGGGAGAAGACACACACGCGCGCGCGGTCAGCAACCGCGCCGTGCCTGCGAACGTGCGTGCGTGATGTTTTGATGAATACGGTGGCGGAGATGCGTACCAACAGCGTCTCGAACACGTTGGGCTCGGTCTTCCAGAAGGCGTCCACCACGGACTGGTACCTCGTGTTCAACAGAGCGCTGAGGAACTCGAGGATCTTCACCCTCAGGAAGCCGAAGGGCGGGCTCAGCTTGCCGTAGGTCATCTGGAAGAACCGCTCCGAGTCCTGCAGGACAGAACGAAAGCGTGTTAGCGATGTTGTGCGCCCACATGCTCATCATAAGCATGTGTGTTATATAAATATCAGCAACTTTGAGCATATTCATGGCCATGGCCTATCATCAACACGGACCAAAGTTGAACTCATCATCTACAAATACGCGCACAAAGGGAGCCGAGAAAAAGTTGTTGCTGCTGCTTACCTGAGGAGTCTTGAGGAGCTGGAGGAAGAAGCCGAGCTTCCCAACAACTGTGCGCATGAAGATGGGCGTCTCATCGGCCATGTTGCCCTCGTACGAGAGGTTGAGAATGCCGATGGCCACGTTCAAACCGTTCTGGATCTTGTTGAAGTTGGCCGGCTGTGCGATTGGAGGAAGAAAGGTGCGGGTGAGCTTTCTTCTTTCTATGGCGTGGGTGAAGCAAGGAAAGGTACCTCGGAGAGAGTGAACTGCTCCCACTGCTCGGCGACGATTTCCGAGTGGAACATCTGGGTGGTGAGAATAGAGTAGGGGAAGGGGACGAAGAGGTCGAGGATCTCGACGAAGGTGTTGGCCGTCTTCTCCTGGGTCTCGGGGTCCTCGCACTCGGCCATCTTGAACATGAGCAGCGGGATGAGGTCCTCGTCGAGCAGCCACTGGTGGGAGATCTGCGAATCGATCAGCCGGAAGAGAGATTCGACGATGTACTGGTTGTTGATGTGCCACACGAACTTGGCCACGACGCAGTTCTTCTTCTTGAGGTAGGAGATCAGCTCCTTGGGGTAGCGCTCGAAGAGCAGCTCGACGATCCGCGAGAAGTAGGCGCAGCGGAGGGGATCCATTTCGGTCGTTATGTCCAAGAAATCGAAGAACTTGTCGAGCATGTTGTGGTCGTTGATCATCGCCTCCTTGAGGATGTCAGACTGGATGGCCTCGTAGGCAAGATGAGCGAACCTGGAACCGCACGATAGACATGTCAAAATCTAAACTCTCGAGAATCGATAAACAAACACTGCCGGCAAAATCGGGGGTGAATGCAGTGTGCCCGCGCTACGAAAGTCTTCAATGGGGGCTCTCGCGTACCGCTTCTGCTTTTCCTGCTCCGCCTCATCCTCATCCTCGTCCTCCTTGGGCTCGGAGGAAATATAGGCAACGAGCTGCTCCAAGACCTCAGGCTGAACCAGGCTGTGTCGCGCCCAGAGATTGTCCATTACATCGTGCGATTCGAATCCACTGGTACGGCGCTCTCCCCCAATCCCTATTCCATGTAAGGCGAGGGAGAACGTACTAGGAGAGAAGGTTCGACTTGCCCCTTCGCAGATCGGGAAGGAAGTCGTCGAGCTCCAACAGCTCCTCAAGCTCGAAATCCTCTTTGCTCAGGACCAGGTCAACCGAGGTGTACTGGTTCTGAGTACCGAACGGGTAGAAGCTGCCCATCATGCCGCGAAGCTCGTTGAGCTTGGCCGAGAGGTCCTGATCTTGATCATCATCGCCGTCATCGTCTAGATAAATGTAGATAAATGGAGGGGGAATGAATATGAATATGAGAAAGAGGCAGTGAGCCTGGGCGCAGGAAGAGAGAAGCGGCAAAATGATAATGGGCGGGGGGGAAAAGACGGTCCGCGCAGAGCCCAAGTGGATGGAGGAGGAAAATTGCGGCGCAGCAGGTTGGTTTACCTTCATCGTCGTCGTACTCCTCCTCATCATCGTACTCCTCGCCATCCTCCTCTCCCTCCTCCTGCTCGCCGAAGGCTCGCTTCTGTCCGTCCTCATTGATTTTCACTTCGTCCGATGCCTCGTCCCCGTGAACATCTCCTCCTTCGGCACCCGCTCCGGCCTTCAGACCTTCCCCTCCCTCAACGTTCTCACTTCCCTGGTTGGCGAGATTCTCCTCGCCGGTGGTCGTGTGCTCTGTGGCATCGTTGGTGTGATCCCCCTCAGACATGGCTGATGATCTGTTTCTTTCTTGAAAGAAAAAAATAAATGCGGTCAGTTGTGGATACGCGTGTTGGTCGCCGCTAATTTAGGAGTTTGGCGCGTTGTCACGTCAAGGATTTGGAAAATTAAAAGATGAAGGGCTTCGTTCGGTTGAGAGTGAAGACTAAGGAGCGCATTCAGGCCCAAATGGAGATGAAGATCACTTACACTTCATCCGGCTACACTTCTTAATTTTTGAAAAAATTCGAGGCCACAAGGATCTAATTGAAAAATGCGAGCCAAATGAACGAGCTGAATGGAGGGATGAGGGTCGTAGACGCACTTGATACAAGAACGGCCGAGAGATCAAGGAGGAGAGAAAAAGAGACAAAGGCTCAGCGGCGCGGCGGAAGGCAAACAACCAGCGCACACGGTTTTCTTTTCCTTTGCCTGCCGGTGCCCCCCTTTTTTTCGGCTGCCCGCCAACAATTCACCCCGCGATTGGACCCCGCGACTGGTCCGTTATTTTATCCCAACTTTCCCAACAGCGCCAGGTTGTTGGCCAGACGAGCAGGCGGGTTGTTGGGGAAACCCAGTTCGGGCGTGGCGATGGTGCTGGAACTGGTCACCGCACACTGTTCACCTCGGACTCCTGCCTGGCCAGACTTGGTCCCCGCCGCCTGGGTGTGTAGCTCTCGCTTCACTTCTTGCCACCGAAGGAGAAGCGCACGGGCGGCTTGGGCGGGGCTTTGGCGAGGCCAAACGAAATTCCTGTAACGTTACCACGGCCCACACCAAGGAGGCACACAAGTGGTCAGTGCCTGGTTGAGGGTGCGCGTGGACAGAGAAGGAAGGAAGTGCCTGAGCCAGTTGGCGGCAAAGTCGGAGGCGCTGGCTCGCTCGTGACGGGGGGTGGTGGCTGCGACGGCGGCGGCGGATGTGATGGGGGAGGGTGCGACGGCGGAGGCGGAGGCCGCGAGTGCGGCAGGGGCGGTGGCGGCAGGTTGCCGGGCGGTGGCGGTGGCGGTGCACCGAGTGAGATGGGCCGGAAACCGCCTGACGGCGAGGACACCGGGACCGACTGAAAGCGGCCGGCGGCCGGCGGAGCGAATGCGACGGGCTGGAAGCCGCCAGTGGCGGGCGGCGCAGCGGGGCCGGCTGGTGGGAGAGGCTGAAACCCGCCGGATGGAGGTGGCGATGTAGTGGAGCCGCCCGAAGTGAAGCTCACTGGCTTGAACCCACTGGGCAAGGCAGGTGAAGACGAATGTGACGTAGTCGCGGCGGTGTCGGTGGCTTGCGGCATGGGCGGCGCCGGTGGCGGGGCCGGGCTGCCGGCAGGAAGGGGCGGGGCGCCGACCGGGACAGGCGCCCAACCTGCAGAGCTCTGCTGGGAATCTGATGGTCTCGGCGGTCTGTTGCGCACACGTGAGTGGGGCGAGAGGAGCGAAAGCGAAAAAAGAATGAAGCGAGTATTACCCAGAGGCGGCGGCCGCGGCGGCCGCCTTTCGGTTGGCCTCCTCCGTGATTCGCTTGAGCATCTCCTGCTCCCGTCGCTCTTCCTTTTTCTTCTTGTTGTCCTTCTTTCCAAAGCCCTTCTTCATCGCTCGCGCCTGCTTGTTCATTTCCGCCAGGCGCTATTGGCCATCACGCACGCACGCGCACGCAACGAGAAGCTCGTCAGTCACTAGATGGCAGCAAACACCGCCAACGCGTGCAGTGGTTGGCTACCTTCTTGTGGTGGTGGTCGTAGGAGCTCAAATGCTGATCGTACTGCAGGGCCTGCGTGTACTGCTTGCTGCAGATGTCGCAGTAGAACACCTTGTTGATTTCGGTCACCTCTTCCTTGATCTTCTCCTTTTCCAGGTGCTGGTCGAGCTTTCGCCTCTTCTCCTCGACGGTTTGCTCCTTCTCGATCTCCAGCGCCTTCCGCTTGGTGGCGCTCTCTGCCACCTCCTCCTCGAGCTCCTTCTTGCCCAGCCCCATCACGTCCTCCTTGAGCTGCGCCCTTATCGGCTCCACCATGCCTGAGAGGTGCGCCAGGTGTGAGCGGCCGATGGCGCTACATGATGGGGGGGGGCGCAAGCTCGTACCTGAGCCGTCGCGGCCCAACCCCGAGCCCGTTCTCCATCCCATCTTCTGCAGCAACTTGTAGCCCACATTGTTGGAGGGGATGAAGGTATCCATGGAGGCTTGCACCAGATCAGTGCGATCCAGATTTTCGGTGATCTGATGCGAAATGGGCAGGCTCCAAGGCTCATCGTCGTCGAAGAAGCGGTCCTCCTCTTTCTGTGCGCATGCAAGAAGAACATCCAGATAGTACGGAAGACTATAACCCGCCCCTTAAGCATGCAGCCGAACTTGCACACAAGCGAAATGAGGGGTACCTTGGCTTCTCGGGCAAGAGCTTCCTCATCCATGCCCGCGCGATAGGCCGAGTAGGGAGCACGAGGCTGCACCACCACCTTCACGCGATCTGCGCCACCCGCCTCCATTTTTGTGTGAATTTGTGGTCCATCCCTCGTGTACAAATAAAAAGCAAAATGCCTTGCTGGCCGCATCCTTAAAAAAATTACAAGGCACTCGCGGGCGAAGGCTCACTTCTGCTCGAGAGAGAAGCTCATCTTGCTCAGCATCTTGGCCGGGAGCTGCGGGAGAGCCCTCCTCGGCAAGAGGTAGGTAGACAGGTTGGAGATGTCCACGAAGACGCGACCACGCTGGAGCGTCGCCTTGAGGTAGTGGTAGCCCGACGAACCGCCCGTGCCCATCTTCGTGCCTGATGAACGTGACAATGCAAGAGGAGTGTGAAAAACAAAGCTTGATGACGATGACGAAGACGATAACGACGACGCGTCACATGCAACGGGAGAAGGCAACGTACCGATCATCCTGTGGACCATCATCGAATGCCTGTGGCGCCAGTGCTGCATGGCGTTGTCGATATCAACAAGACGGGTGAGGAGCTCAAAGGGAGCGCGGAGAATGGGCTCATCGCGATACAGCGTGATCAGCAGGGCGGCTGTAATGTGGGGACGCGGGGAGATGAACGGTGAGCTAGCCACTCAACGGAGCACCAAACAGAGCGTATTTGTCTCCTGACGTACCCTGCGTGGCCTTGAACGAAAGACGACGCAGTCCCTTCCTGCGCATCTCCTCGTGCTTCTCATCGTCGAGAAGAGCCAAGAACGCCTCCTTGTTCTGTTAGATCGCAGAAATGAAGTGAGTGAGCAGACTATCGCTAACTATGCTCGGGGGCTGTCGCACACATAGACCAGCCTTACCTTCCTCCACTCATCCAGATGCTCCTCGAGCTTCTCACCGCCGGCCATGTTGGAGTTATCAATGATGATCTCCTTTTCCGTGTCGAACATCTGCTCGGCCGCCTTCTTGTAGGCGTCCCAGAACCTGGACGAAGAAATGGCACGGGCCACACGAGGATGGTCAGCGACTGACTTCAACGGCCACGCGCGAGGCGTCAAATGAGCGGCAGGCAGGCAGACGTACTTGAATCCGGTCTCCTCGTCGCTCAAGAACGGGATTCTCTCGAGCCAGGCTTCGACAATGTTGAACAGGGTGGGGCCTGCGCGTCAGGAAAGCAATTTGTCAAATGATGGAACGAAGGCACGCAAAGTAGAGAGGAAAGGCTTGGCCGCACTGTTCTCAGACTCCTGCACGATCTTCTGGTGGTCGGGCTCGAGCCTCGTGTGGTAGGCGGCAGACTGGTACTTCATGCGCTGTTCAGCAACCATGCCCTGATGAACGCAAGCGAGGACAAAAAAAGATGTAAGTTGGCGCAACTCAACCCATGTCAGGGAGACTGGTGTGCGTACCAGCTTGTTCTCAATGAGACGGAACTGGAAGCTTTGGAAACCGGAAGCAGGCATCAGGTAGTCGCGGAAATCGAGAAAATCGAGAGGGCTCATGGTCTCGATGATTTGCACCTGGCTGACTAACAGGTTGAGAATCTTCACGATTCGTTCCGTGTGGTGGTTGATCGTGCCCATGCTTTTCTACAAATCACGGCCACATCGCGATGGGTAAATTGATCGCGCATTTTAGAATGTAATGAGGAGGAGAAAGATGAGGAAGCTGCGTTAAAGAAGCGATTGAAAGTGTACCTCAGGAATGGGTGTTTGGGCGAAGAGCTTCATCACAAGGTCGAGCTCGTGCAGAATCTGCTTGAACCAAAGCTCGTAGGCCTGGTGCACGATGATGAACAGCATCTCATCGTGGGCGGGCTTGCCGTGATCTTCACTCTTCATGTGCTGGGCATTGAGCAATTTGTTGAGCTCCAGATAGTCGGCGTAGTAGACAGGCTCGTGCTTCGCCTTACCAGCTGCCGTACCGGGCGCGCCGCCATGAGCGAAGGGACATCCGCCGCCGCCTCCACCGCCGGCCTCCTCAGTGGCCTCCATCGTCGAAAGCGTGGGCAGTTTCAAACCTTCATCTGGGGCTTCCATCTTATGGCGTTGTAAAATGATAAATGATAATAAAAAATAATTTGCCTAGTTCAGGAGTTTAACAATTCACCCAGATTTCACTCAAGAATTGTGGAATGCGAGTCAGTTAGTGGTTGCACGGGACCATTGGTTGGTCACAGAGGACGACCCATTTGGAATTATTAGCAAACAATTTATTTGTGGTTGGTCTCCAAAAGCTAGCACGAGAAGCGGAGGAGTGTGTACAAGGGGTGGTGGGGAAAGAGGAGAGAATGTTGTGGTTCCATTCTGGTCACGATTGTGTCAAGAAGCAATCTCCTTGGTTCTTGAGCGGACTCGTGACGCGTGGCGGGGAGATGAAGGTCTCTGTACAAAAATCTACAGGCGAGAGGCAGATCGTTCCGTCGCTCAGTGGGAAGCGCCCATGCCGGCGTCATCCAGGTTGAAGAACTCGCTGAACGAGTCATCGGTCTGCTGATCCTTCCTCTCCGCTGCGTTGTTGATAAAGCAATGCGTGAGAAACGGCGAATTGGCGGATCAGCTGCTGTGTGCGTCGACGGTGGGAGCAAGTACCAAGACCACTGGGGTAGGAGTTAGCGTCCGGTGCAGCTTCCGACGCGCCGCCAGCACCGAGCCACGACTCGTGGGCGAAGGCCGACGACGGGACGACGGAGAACTCGTCCACCAGGATTTCGCTCACCGGGCCGTCGTCCGTGCTCAGCTGATCGCTCCCGATCGGGATCGAGGTCCCGGGCGCCTGGTGGGCCACCACCAGGCCGTCTTCGGGGACCGTCCGGCACAGGGACTCCATGCTGGCCGGCTCGCACATATTGAAGTCGCTGAACTCGTTGTAGAAGTCGAAGTCGGCCCGCGCCTGCGGGTCCATCAGCTCCTGGGCGAGGGGATCCGGCTGCTGCTGGTGGTGGTGCATGATCTCGGGGCCGTATTGGTGGTAGGGTCCCAGGTCGTGCGAGGGCAGCACGGAGGGCAGGCTCGCCGAGGTGGAGGGCTGGTGGTGGACCAGCTGCGGCCCGGTCATCCTGGCCTGGTGCGACATCTCGAGGCCGAGCACGTGCGCCTGCGGGGGGTAGCCTGACTGTTGCGCCTGGAACGGCTGCGCGGCGTAGCGCTGCGTCGTGCTGGCGTATTCGTAGGAGTGTCTCTGCTGCTGGGCCTGCTGGCGCTCCATCTCCATCTGTAGCTGCAGCCGCTCGAGGTGCTGCTGGCGCAGCTCCTGCAATCGCTTGTTGGTCTGGGCGATGTGGTACTGGCGCTGGAGCTGCTGTTGGTGGGTCAGCGGGACCTGCGCAGAGTCGACGTAGCTGGGTGGGGACGACCGGGATCGAGGCCTGGTGGTGCCCATGCCGCCGTGGGTCGACGACGAGGCCGCATCGGCGCCCGCAGAGTAGGGCGGGAACAGCTCGGCGCTGCCCATCGGCGTGATGGGCTCGAAGGGGCTCGGCGTCGACTGGTCGCCGGCCGACGACGGGATGGTGTCGGACGACGAGTCGCTGCTCACGCTCCCCTCCGCGGCCAAAGCGCCGCTCGAGTAGTCGAACCCGCTGAACGCCGTGCCCGAGGGCTCGTGCTCGCCGGGCGAAGCGAACGGGTTCTGTCCGTTACCGGCGGTGGCGTGGTTGTTGTTGCCCTCCTCCGATGAGTCGTCGTCTTCGTCGTCCGAGCTCTCGTCGTAGTCGCTGCGCTTGTACCTCTTGCCCCGGTCCTTGCGCGACGACTTCCTCTTGCGGCGCTTGTCGGAGCGGTCGTTGGAGCTCTGGGCGAGCATGGAGAGGAATGACTGGATGCTCTTCCGTTGGCCCAGGTTGCCCTCGGCCAGGGCGCGGCCCAGCGTGGGCACCGCGGTGAGCGGGGTGTAGTTGTGCACGAGCGGACACGACAGCGAGTTGCGCCTGGCGTTGGCAGCGGGCCTATTACCACCGAAAAACGAACACGAACTGGGTGAGAAGAGAGACTCCCTCAAGCTCTGTTACTTGACCCTAGTGACCTCACAGCCCCGGAACTGGGTGATAGGCGTGTGTTCAAATAAAAGAGAAGTGGCTCTCCTAGCAAATTTGGGCAAACGGCTCAAGTCGCGAAATTCGAAACCAAAAACGAAAGAAATAAATCTCTGCGTTCCTGAGCAGGGCAGAGCCGATTTGAATGAATTGATGAATGGGGGCCTGCTGGAGAGATAGGAAAAACGTACAAGCTGTTCCTCCGCAGGGCGGCCATGGTGTCCATCGCCGATTCGGCAGCTTCGGAATCGGGCACGGATGTGTAGGGTTGGGCTTGGTAGTGATCGGCGACGTTCATCTGTTCGTCCTGTTGCTGGGAAGGGCTGAGGCAGATAGACTTCCTTCGTCCGCCGGGACGCCTCGACGCGTACTCGGCCCGCAGACCCTCGCCGACGAATCCGCCCAAGATGCCCAGGCTCGCGCCCACGCCGCCCGAGACGGGGGTCGAGGACAGCGAGGCTCGTCGCTGAAGATGAGCCGGCGGGTGCTGCTCGAAGCCGTTTTGTTGGTGCGTCGTCGTTCCCATGGATTGAAGTTGCGGCGCGTAGTCGGACGAGTAGGCAACGTCGTCGCTTCCGCAAGACGAGGACATGCTCAACGGCGAACCCTCCTGGAGGAAGGAGTCAGTCATCATGGCGGCCGGCTGGTGGTGCGGAAGCGGTTGCGGGAAGGCGGCCTGCTGCTGAGGCTGTGGTTTCTGCTGCTGTTGCTGGAGTTGATGATAGAAGGAGGAGATGTTATCGGCGTGCGACATCGAGTAGGAGCGGTTGCGCCCCTGGTAGTTATGCTGCTGCGCTTGCATCCATTCTTCCATCGCGGCGACGATAGAGGCAGAAAGGACCAACAACACCTAACGGCCCTCTACTTCTTCTGTAAGTGGTCCTCTTCTTCGAGACGAGAAGGTTGAAGGTGAGTGACGTGTGGCCTTGGTTCCGGTTTTCAAGCGTGCTCTCACTACTTCCGCCGGGGATGAAGGAGACGTTGTGTGGAGGAGGAAGAAGGTGGGTTATGGGTGGAAGTCAAAGTGAGGAAGGAGGCGAGACGAAGAGTCGAGGCGGATTGAGGGGGTAGGGATGGTGGTGGCTGGGGGGATGGAGGAATGCGTCTCTCTCGCTGGCGCGCGGGATGGTGGACAAGGGCAGACAATGGGGCGAACTCCCTTGGAGTCGCGACGGGCGGGCTGTCAGAGGGCGTTAGGGGATCACCAACTCTCTATGACATTTCGTAGTGGTCGAAGGCGGAAGGTGGGCTCGTGTTTGACGTGATCCCCGCCTCGTGCGCACTCTCACTTACGTGCGGCCGCGTGACCATCGGGCGTCGGTTCGAGGGCGTCGTGGGGTCGGGTGGAGCTTGCCGTGGACAACACGGAAAACTGGCTCTTAGTGGTCGCCCGCGAGGTGACGCTTCTCCGCGATTGGCTTTTGCGGAGTTAAAGTTGGTGTGAGTCTGCGGAACGGCTGACGGGCGCTCTGGCTGCGTGTCCCGTGGATTGACCATTCAGGCGCCGTCGGCAACCCGGCTGGCCAATGGTGATCGTACTGGCTCTTGATGTTGCTTGACGGTGGGCGGTGCCACTTGAAGCCCTGCGCATAAGTTGAGCAGGTTACTCCACATAGGCAACCGAGTGCTCCGAGGTTGCATCCCTCGCCCCTTGCTGTTCACCTGTGGCCAGGTTCGCCGACCGATCTGCGCCCGTTATTCGACGCCGGATCGCCAGGTCTGCTACACCCACAAAGGCTCCTTCGGGTAACTGTTGGCCGAAGGAGAAGAGGCTACTCTCGCCAAAGCTAGCTTTATCTGGCTATCTTCACGCCTGCGATAAAGCAGTGCGATTGAGCTAAAATCGCCAGTCAGGCGGTCGTGAACACGAAGGCCTCGAAAAATAATTATAAATCTAATTACTTGGAATGCCAATTATTAGAATGCTAAAAATGTGGTTGCCGGCAAAAAAGGGTGGGCGCGGTGCTTTCGTCCTTTCTCTCTTTTTCTTCCTTCGCCATCGCTAGTACCACAGCATGGGTTCTGGGTTCGTGCCCCTCCTTCAAGATTTGGGTTTTAGAAGTGCGATTAGCTTCGTAATGCGGCCCCTCACCCTCCTTCCTTGCCCAATGCAGCAAGCCTAGGGGTATCCGCGCTGCGCGCAAGCTCAAGAACCACCGCAGGGTCGAGAGGTGGTCCGACAAGCAGTACAACAAGGCTCATTTGGGCACCCAGCTGAAGGCTAACCCCTTCGGAGGCTCTTCGCACGCCAAGGGCATCGTGCTCGAGAAGCTCGGCATTGAGGCTAAGCAGCCTAACTCTGCCATCCGTAAGTGCGTCCGTGTCCAGCTCATCAAGAACGGTAAGAAGATCGCTTGCTTCGTCCCCCGTGACGGTTGCTTGAACTTCATCGAGGAGAACGTACGCTCATTCTGCCATTCGCATTTGCCATACGCATGACCGGCTTGAGGGTCATTCATCAATTCTCATCCACGCATCTCGCCGTACAGGACGAGGTGCTCGTGGCTGGCTTCGGTCGCAAGGGTCACTCCGTGGGTGATATTCCCGGCGTCCGTTTCAAGGTGGTCAAGGTCTCGAACGTGGGTCTCTACGCCCTCTGGAGGGAGAAGAAGGAGAAGCCCAGGTCTTAAACAATCTGTTACCTACAAGATCCTGTCTCTTCGCCTTATGATGCCTCTACACAAAAGTTAAACCTACCTTCGCGCCTCTTTTCCTCGTTTCTAGAGACAATCTGCTCCCATCTCACAGATGAGATTACCATGTACCTTAATTATTCATGTTTATTTTTATTTGTCTATTTACATTTTACTTGAGATGGAGACGGAAGTAAGCATAGATGAAGGGGTTGGAGAGGGAAACAGGGAGGAGAGGCGACCAAGGCTGCTGCGTGCCGAGGGGTCAGTGCTTTCAGAGGAGTTTATTGAAGGGCTCGAGCGTCAGGCCGATGCCACAGCCCAGCAGCTTGCTCTGCACATCTCTTCCCTTCATGCCTCTCTCCACGCCGTACCCCCCCCCCTCTCTCTTCTGTGCCGTGAGCACACCGCAGGCGGTCGTGGCAGCCTCACAACAGATTTATTGTTCAGATCTCTGCGCTTTCTGTAGCTGAGATGCAGACGTTCAAGATGTCTGCCGACAATACGACCGCTGCGGTGAGCACAGCGGTGGCGCAGATGCACGGCTTCCTCACAAAATGCCAGCAACTCAACCAGGACCTGCCACCCATCGATGATCTCGCAAAACAGATGTTCGCTCTTCTTCTTCTGCGCTGTTGGCCCTGCCTTGGTGCTCACCTGTCCTCCTCTCTTTCTTTTTCGCCCAACAGCAAGGACCTGCGCCGTACGCTGGACTTGTTCGAAATGCTCACCCTTCGCTTCGGCCGAACATGACACCTGCGCAGTGGTTGTTGGTGCTCCACCCAAATGCATGACCCTTTATTTATTGCCACCACACGCCACACGACACACGACACCCCTACAACAGAGCGGCGTGTGGTGGTGGTATGGAGTGGAGGCCTTTGCCGGCTTCTAGCAGTGGAAGGTGTGAGGGAGGAGTGGTATATCATTCGAATTTATCTGTACATGTACATCGCGCACACGACGCACGTCTGCACCTGGGGCAAAACAATGGCCCGCGCGCACCTCGAAGACGCCACCGGAGAGCTCGAGAAAAGAAGATGTGGAGAAAGGGAGGGGGGAGGAAGAGGTTGATTACTACAGGCCTTCGCCGACGGACCAAACCCGTCGCTACTGGCCCGTCGTCGTGGGTCGTCGTGGCGGTGGCGCGGGCTTGGTCGGGCCTTCCCTCTTCGGGTGCGTGCACGAGATGGGCTCCCCCGTGTTGGGCACGATGTTGTAGTTCTCCGGGTTCGAATCTGCACAAGAACGAAGCAGAACGAAGAACGAAGAACGAGGAAAGAGGACGAAGTCTTGCAGGTAAGAAACAAACTGGAATGGCAACACGAGATTGGGGGGGGGGGGCGTGGAGGCTTCGCCACGTACCGAGCACCTGCTCGATGGTGCGGGCGATGGTTCGGAAGTCGGGTCGCTCCTTGGGGTCGTAGGCCCAGCAGTCGTACATGAGCCGCGCTATCTCCTGCATTCATTCATTCATCCATTGACGCACGTGAGCGGCGTGCGATTGATGAAGTAGCGAAGCAGCAAAGGAGGAGGAGGAGAGGCGGTACGGGCGGACAGGACGATGGCGGCCTGAGGCACATCCCCCGGCTGCTCACCCCGATGGCCACCTGCACCGGCGACACCCCCGGGAACGGTTCCTGCCAATATTTCCATGCGGCGGGCACGCGCGCGCATTAGTCCCCCAATCTATACGTCGTCTCTCCCCCCTCCATCCACACATTTCGTGGGTGGCCACATGGCTGGCTACGAACCTGGCGCGAGAAGATCTCCCACAGCACGACACCCATCGCCCACGCGTCGCTCTTTGACGAATACTTTTGCTCCTGCAGGCTCTCTGCGCCACCGCAATAACAAAAAACAAAACAATAACAATAGTCAGAATAAATAGAAGTTAAAAATATGAAATAAATGAAATGGCTTTGGGGGGGGGGGTAAGAATTGGGGTAATTTACCGGGGGGCATCCACTTGAGAGGGCCGACCTTGCACGAGGTGAAGTTGTCCTCGGCGTCCTCCGTGAATCGAGAAAGACCGAAGTCGGCCACCTTCACCACCAGGTAGTCCTTGTTCCTCGACGTCAACTGTGTGCGACACGGACAGAAACACACAACACACACGACACACGCGACACACGCGACACACGCGACACACGCGACACACGCGACACACGCGACACACGCGACACACGCGACACACGCGACACACGCGACACACGCGACACACGCGACACACGCGACACACAGGCGTCAGCCAGAGGACGGCGCGTGGGGCGGATGCAAGAAAGCTCCGGGGGGGCGGCGGGTTGCAACGGACCAACAGATTGCGGGCAGCCAGATCGCGGTGGCAGATGCCCTCCGCGTGCAAGTGCGCCACACCTGCATTGAATGAATGGCGAAGGTTGCGATCAGCCATTACACGTGTCGTGTGTGTGTCGTGTGTGTCGTGTGTCGTGCGTTTCAGCATATATATTTCTATATACATTCTATAAAAAGAAAATGGGTGTGGCGGGTACCAGCGGCGGCGTGGAGGGCAATCTTGAGGGCCATGTGAAGATCGATATCGGCCTTGCTCTGCAGGAGCTCCTGCAGGCTGCCGCCTTCCAAAAACTCGACCACGATCGCCTGACATCGCACCACCCACCCACCACCATCACCCACCCGCATCACCCACCACATGCGGTGATGACAGCCAGACGGTCCATTCTTCAGCTCAAGAAGTAGCACAACACGACACGAGACACGACACGACAATCAAATGGGGGGCATCGTCGTACCATGTACGGACGCATGCACACCCCAAACAACTGTACAACGTTGGTGTGCGGCCGCATGTCCCTGTTGGAGGTGTGCAACGCGCGCGCACGCCGGTCCGTGAGCTGAAGATTAAAGCGGTGGCGAGGGCGAGGCTTGGGGAGAGGGGGGGGGGTACATCATCATCTCAGCTTCGCCCCGGAACTCCTTGAACTTGGCCTCGTGGAAGGACGCCATGTTCTCGCGAATCGTCTTGATCGCCACCACCGTGTTCCTCCATTTCCCTACATAGTCGACGATGCCGCACATGTCATTTGCCTGCGGTCTCTCCCCCGCCCGTGTGCTGTGTGTGTTGTGTTGTGTGTGTGCCGTTTGTGTCGTGTCGTGTGTACCTTTAAACACGGAGCCGTAGGCCCCCTGGCCGATCCGCTTGTCGACCTCCAGCTCCTCGAATTCGATCTCCCACCGATTGCCCCTCTTCGCACTCTGCCGCATGGGCCCTGTTGCACCGCCACCGCCACCAATACAGCATTAGACCGCGTGTGTCGTGTCGTGTCGTGTCGTGTCGTGCTGTGTCGTGGTGTGCGGTGCGCACCTTTGACTTTGGGAGACTCGACGGCCTTGTCGCCCTCCGGCTTGGCCTTGACCTTGGCCGGCCATTCGCCGCTGGCCGGCAGCGCGTAGCCCGACGGCAGCGGCGAGTCCGCACTGGCCACCTTCAGCTCGATGTTGGCCACGTAGTTGGCCTCGGCGTCTCCACCGCCGCCCGAGGCCTCGCCCTTACCGTCGTCGTCGTCGCTGTCCTCCTCTTCACTGTCCGAGTCGTGCACGCTCCGGAGGTCGTAGTAGTTGTAGTCCTCCTGCGTCTCCGGCTCCTTCTGCGAAGCACCGCCGCCGGTCGAGAGCGGTCGTCGGCTCTCGGGCTGCAGAACGAACGAAGGCGGTGCGACGTACAAGTCCTCCACTGTTGCAGCCGCCGTCGTGGTCGTCGGCGCGACTGATGACGCCTGGTACGGCGCGGGCGGGCCGCTGCCCCGCCTCTTTTCTTCGGGTCCGGCTGCTGCTGCTGCTGCTGCTCGCAGGGGCTGATCGGTACTCGTCGGAGGAGCGCTGACGTTGAGCGAGAGGCCGGCGAGCTGGCGTCGCGGCACCACCACAACGTTGACGCTCTCGCGCCGCTTGGCCTTGTTCTCGCGATCGCGCAGCTTCTCCTCGAGCTCGCTCATCTGATGCTGCGGCGAAGGGTCGGACGACACGCGCTGCGGCTGCTGAAGCTTCTGCTGCTGCTCCTTCAACCGCTGCTGCCTGGGGCTGAGGTTGACAGTGTTCCGTCGACGATCGGGCAGCGGCGGCAGGACCTTCATCCCCGTGGCCGCGGCCGCAGCCGACCCCGGCTTCGTCTCGTCGGCCGCGGCCGCCTGCTGCTGGGGCTGCGGCTGCAGTTGCGGTGCCGGCTGGTAGTGGTGGGAGATCTGTGGCTGGGACTGGGACAGCTGTGGAGCCGGGTGATAGTGCTGCTGCTGTTGCTGCTGCTGCTGCTGCGGCGGGACCTGCGGCGACGACGGGAAGTGCTGCTGCTGCTGCTGCTGCGTGTGTTCGTTGAGAAGGCCGGGAGCCGAGAACGATGGATAAAGGCGGTGCTGGGGAAGGATGGGCATGTTGTGGTAGGGCGTGGGCTGCTGCTGCTGCTGCGTCGGCTGTTGTTGTTGCGGTTGCTGCTGCTGCGGTTGATAAGGCGGTGGAGCTGTGACTCGGTAGATGTCGGGTGCCACCTGAACGAGAGACGCGCGCGACCGCAATGAGACGAAGGAGGTGCGCAAAGACCTGGAGTGTGGGTGAAGAAGCGGAACACTGGTCTCGAGGCGCGGTCGTACCTGGTACTCGTGAGACGGCGCCTGCTGGCCGTAGTTCTGCGCAGGAGGACCATAGGCCTACGCGTACACGCACACACACACCACACGCCGCGTGTATGAGATCTTCAGGTCATTACTACACGCACACGCACACACGCACACACGCACGCACATGACAAAACAGTGATCACTGCGAGGCGCGATCGAGGGGTACCTGGTAGTAGGCAGGCGGGGCGGAGGCGAGGGAGTAGTCCTCGTAGTCGGACGACAGGGATGGCACCAGGGGCATGGACGCGGACGCGGACGCGGCCAAGGGCGGAACGGGCGACGAGGGCGACGCCGCGGCCGAGTTGGCCGACGAGGGCGGTGAGAGCACGGACTCCATGGGCGCGCTCACGGTCACGGGCTTGCGCGACCGTATCATGCCTGAGCCAAGACAAAGAGAAGAGAAGAGAAGAGAAGAGGAGAGAAGGGCAAGAGAAGAGCAAGAGCTAATCAGCTTTGTTCCTTGCATTGTGATCAATAATGAGATGGATCACAATGCAATTGGAAATGGGAAGCACCTGAGGGTTGGAAAAGGGGCTTGCCCCCTGCGGGAGGCGGGGCAGGCTGCTGCACGGGAGGATTGCTGGGCTGGGGCTGGGGCTGCTGGGGGGTGAAGTGGGGCATGGGCGCGTAGGTCGATTGTTGCTGTGGAGCTCCATATGTGTTCCCTGCGGGAGGGCCAGAAGGCGCGTAGCCACCCCCGAAGATTGGGGGCGGGCCTCCATAGGGGGAAGGAAACTCCAGAATGGCATCTCCAGATGCAGAACTCGCCGATGCAGATCCCACACCCCCTCCATGGTAACCTCCATAGTGAAGGTTATTCTGCTGCGGGTAAGGAGGTTGCTGGCCGTATGGAGGCGGTTGGTGCCCGTTCTGATAGAACATCTCAGCTAATCCCTGAGGTATCAATCGCGGCCGTCGAGGCTTCTCCACCTTGCTCTCCCCGCCACCAAAAATAATGATTGTTTTGCTATTCTTTTTATTTCTTTGTGCTGAGAAAACTACTTTGCCCACAGCCACGGCTTCAACGAAACTGTCCAGCTGACTTTGATGCTGCAGCAACACCGCACATCTACGACCGACTTTATAGCCCACGAGCTGACTGCCAATCTTCCACACCGGGGTCAGGAAGGAAGGTTCGCTTTTCTAATCTCTCACATACCCAGAATTCCAGCCCCGCACGAGTGGCGCGCAACCACTTCTGCAGGTGGTCAATCACTGACAGGCGTGACGATCATCATCGCCTTCAATCGCGTGTTGGCCAAAGCGCGCACCAAGTGTTGGTGACCGCCAGCCTGCGCCCCGCAGCTTCTGCGGACCTCCACCAAAAGTAGCCGTGGTGCGTAGCCTATGAAAGGGCCAATGGCGGAGTGCCACGGCTGCAACCTTTTCTTTTTTGTCAAGCAAGCCCAGGCCGCACGAAAAGGCAGCCGGTTGTCGGCTGGAAACACTGCAGGCCGCCAGCTCCGGTGACATTTGCATCTCGTCTACTGTCCTACGTGACCTGGCGCTGCCCTTCACAACCGACGGGTCCACCACCCCCATCGCCCAACCACCACAGTGATAGTCTTTCTTCTTCCTTCTCTCTGAGCTCCACCTGTTGCGCGTCTAGTGTGTACCAACACCGCGGTTATTTCTATCTTCTCCCCCTCCTCCCTTTGCTGGTTGCTTTCATTATTGGAGACTCCACACGCTTTCTCTGCAGCCACCTGGACTTCATCGATACTTCTACCTCCTGCTTCACCCAACACATCTTCTTCAACTACCTTCTGCACAAAGCGGCTGCCTGTTCCTACTCTGCAACAGACGACTCCATCTCTACAAGCTTCTTGCCGCGTAGCAGCTGCCCCTCAGGCCTTCTGCACAACCAACCAAAGCAAACCACGTACGTCGCCCTGCCCGTGGAAGTGGTGCGAGCTGCGTGTGGAGACTAATCTAAAAAAAGATGAGTAGTTTGTGGAAAACTTTCTCTTTTGCGACGAGGCGCTGGCTGACTCCCTTTTGGCTCCTTCTTCTTCTTCCTCCTCTCGTTCAGACATCACGCCAGCATGGAACCAGGAGGAAAGATCCCAGGCTACGTTGTCACGGGTAAGCTCGGCAGCGGAAGCGACAGCGAGGTGTACGAATGCGTGAAGAAGGAGGACCCCATGGCGAGGAAGGTTGCTGTGAAGGTCATCAGGAAGGACCAGGCCCCCGAGCGACTCGAACGGTCGAGGAAGGAGGCCGAGGTGCTCGAGCTGCTGGACCACCCCCACGTAGTCAAGATGCACGAATACTTCGAAACCGAAGACTCGCTCTACATCGCGCTCGAGTGTGCTGGCGGGGGCGACCTCTTTGAAGTCCTCTACAGCCACGAGCTCAACCCTTCGCAGACCGTCCTTGAAGAGAAGTGCGCTCGAAGGTACGCTACTTCCCTTGACGTAGTGCCACGCCTTCATCAATTCGTTCCGCCTCTTACCGCCGCTTCCGTGGTGCGCTACAGGATCTTCACCCAGACCGCGCTCGCAGTCAGCCACATGCACAAGAGAGGTGTGTGCCACCGCGACCTCAAGCCCGAGGTACGTGAAGGAGCTCTGCAAGAGCTCTAGTAGAAGAGCGTGTCTCTACATCGTGCTCATGAAGCAACAGTCGGCTCACACGCGTTTCCTTCCGCAGAACATCTTTCTGGACAGCGAGTGGAACGTGAAGGTGGGCGACTTTGGCCTCTCGCTGCGCTACTTGCCCGACCGCAAGGCCAACGACCCGGTGGGCTCCCTCATCTACGCTTCGCCTGAAGTCCTCCGCCGCGAGTCCTACGTCGGACCCGAGCTCGACGTGTGGGCTCTGGGCATTCTATGTACGTCGCCCCTCCCCGCCCTTCACCTCGGCCACTTCCAGCTCGACTGGTCTCAAGAATTAGAAGCTCATCTATTCGCTGCTCGCTGCTGCTGCTCTCGTCAGTGTACGAAATGCTGTGCGGGACTCCACCCTTTGTGGGCGAGACCGAGCGCGATCTGTGCAAAGCGATTCTGGCGGGCGAGTACTCGGTCCCCGATTTTGTGTCGCCCGGCGCCCGATCGCTCATCAGCAAGATGATCAAGCTCAAGCACTACCGGTACGTGGCGCCAGTCTTCAGTTGCTACTGAAGAGTGAAGTGCGTGCAACGACGAAATCTGACACTCGATCGTTCTGGCCTCCTTTTTGTGCAGGATCACGCTCGACGAAGTGCTGAGCCACCCGTGGGTCGTCGAGGGCATGCCAACGGCGGTGACAGTCCAGCGAAGGAGCCGAAAGAGGCGCGGCTCCATCATGGCGGCTTCGTCGGAGGATTCGGGTTCGCCGCATTCGAGGCAGGCACCCAAGGAGGGACGCAAGAAGCGGAAGGAGGGCAGCGCCAGAAAGGCCCGCAACGAGGAGGAGAATCGGGAGCGAGCGAACCCAAAACAGGAACAGGCTGGTGTAGAGAGCGAAGGGCGCGGGGCCAGCACGACAACCGCCGACACGTCGGAGGTAAAGGTCGAAGTCGAGGTGGTGCCGCTCGGTTTAGTCCCGTCGACGCCGAAAGACTTCATGATGATCTCCTCCAGCGATCTCGCCGCGGCTCAGCCGCGAGTGCTCAACGACGACGAGGAGCTGGCCACGGGCGGCACCGAATCGCCGGTGGTCTCGGACCTGGTGCCCCTCGTCGTGCCGGCCGAGAGCCCCACCGCCGGCGTGACCCTCGCAGGCAAATCGACGCTGCTGAAGCAGAGGGACGACGACATCGCCGGCACGCTATCGGGCGACCTGGAGAAGCTCAAGCTCTCGCTCGAGTTCCCCACCTACTCCAAGCTGGCGTCGGTGCGGGAGCATGCCTCGGTACCCGTGCCTCCGCTCCGCTCCTTCTCCTCTCCCGTCGTGCAATTCTAAGCCGCGAGAGAAGAGAGAAGCTCCTGGTGGTTGGCAAACTGTACATTCTCAACCGATAGAGAGACAGGAGCGACATCAATGTAAACAAGCGAACAAAAGAAAAAACCTGCACAGTGGATTCTGTTTCTTGCAAACAACACAATGGAAGGAGGACGTAGCAGGATGTCGTTGAACAGGAAGAAGTGCATCTTCTCCTTGTGCCCTGGGATTCAACACGACGCACATATACATCATGAATGTTCTAACATTACACGCCTTTATCTCTACAGACATTATATTATATTATTCAATGCTCATTTTTGGTAATCAAAAACCCAAATTAGGTAAGTAGTCAACTTTCCCGCCACAGTCCTTTCAGTTCAGATCTTGTTTTATTGATCTCAGCACTCCCTGCTCCAGAGGTCACCGACGCAAACCTTTTCATCGATAGACTAATCGTTTCGCACCACCAGCCCGTCCATCTTCCCTCCACAGGAGAACCTCTCCTGGCCCTACGTCATCTCCAAGACGGCAGGCCTCCGGGTGGACACGAGTAACAAACGACAGGAGAAGGGCGTCCCGGGCACCAAGGAGGACGTGGGCTAGTACTAGTAGTTGTAGAGCGCTACATCATCATCATCATCAACAACAACACCCTTAAGAAAATGGGCTGCTGCGGCTGCGGATTGCTGGGGCGGGCGTGGAAGGGGTTCATCCGCCTTCGCAAATCTCCGCTGACATCGCTCTTCGTCGTGAGCGTGGCTATCTTTACCGACATGCTGGTCTACGGCATGGTGGTGCCCATCTTCGTGCCCGAGATCCTCAACGTCACCACCGTCGAGGCACGTACACCACACTGCCTCCCACGCCAGGTCATGTCACCCTATGCTTCTAACAACGTGGGGGGGGGCTACTACTTCAAGGTGGGAGTGCTGTTCGCCATGTACGCGGCGGGCCTGTTGATAGCGACTCCCATCTTCGGTATCCTCACAGACAGGTTCGGGCGCAAGTGGCCCATGCTGGTGGGTCTCGTGGGGCTGGGCGCAGCCACCTCCATCCTGGCCTTTATCAAGTAGGAGACCCGCACCCCTCACTTTGTTGGCCCTGCTGCTTACCTTTTCATTCTCTCTCTCATTCGAGATCGTTCCCCTTCATGGCGTTGGCCAGGTGCTTCCAGGGCATCTCAGCGGCCGCTACTTGGGTACATACCCTGCGACCATCACGTGATTGCCATGTGTCGATGTGCTGCTGACGCGTGTAGGTAGGTAACGGGCCTGGCGCTGGTGGCCGACATGTTCCCAGCGGAGCAGCTGGGGTGGGCCATGGGCATCGTGATGAGCGTGTGCCAGGTCGGCATCCTGATTGGGCCTACGTTCGGGGTATGCTCGGCGCTCATCATAGGTGCCGTCTCATTTCTGTTGGTGGCTTACCTTGGGTTGATTCGGTGGAAAAACAGGGGATTCGTGTACGAGCTGGCCGGGTACCAGATGCCGTTCCTCATCGCCGCGGGCGTGGCCGTGTTGGACGGCGTGCTCCGCATTCTGCTGGTGTCGGACGACAAGCCCACCTGGAAGGCCCAGAAGCGGAAGGAGGAGCGCCAAAAGCGCCGGGCTGGCGAGAAGGCCACTGCGGCCGCCCCCGCAGCGACCCTCAACCCGGGCGACTGCGAGGCCATGGCCGACGACGACATCGAATCGGGCGACAGCGCTGGGTCGCCCAGGCCGCAGCCGGCCGAAGCCGACCCCCCGACCACGTCGCCCGGCGTAAAGACGCCCCTTCTGGCGGGCAAGAAGGAGAGCAGCACGACACACGGTAGCGGTGGTAGTGGTCGTGGTGATGACCAGCCAGAAGCGGCTGCGCTCACCGCCGCAGAGGCTGTGGTGCCGCAGCCGCTGTCGTTCTGGGACCTGGTGCAGAACAAGTCGATCCTGATCACGTCGGTGGTGGTGCTGCTGGCCTCGAATGCGCTCACGGTGCTGGAACCCACGCTGCCGACCCACCTGGAGAAGGTGTTCGACTCGACGCCCATGCTCACGGGCCTGGTCTTCATGTGCGAGAGCCTGGTCGACATCGTGGCCTCCCCGCTTGTCGGGTGGTACTCGGATCGCGTGGGCAACAAGCCCCTCATGATCGCCGGCATGCTCCTGGCCGGGCTGGTCATGGTACTTCACCTCCTCCTCGTCTTCATCTTCTTCTTGGGGTCTGTCGCACTGACGACGCATCATCGCAAGCCCATCGTGGCGCTGCCCACAGAGTGGTGGCAGCAGTACTTGGCGGTGTCGGCCATGGCAGTGTGTAACGCCCTCATGCTGACCCCGACCCTGCCCGAGCTCGCAGCTCAAGTCGATGCCATGGGCGGAGGCGCCTACGGCCAGGTCTACGCCATCTACAACTTCTTCTACTCGCGTACGCTCTACTACCTCTCTTCGTCTCTTTTTTCTCGTCGGCCAAGTGCTTACCGACTTGTTTGATCTTCTTTCTCCCTTCGTACAGTTGGCATGCTGGGCGGGCCGCTGGTGGGGTCGATCTTGACGGACCACATCGGCCTGTTCCTGACCATGGTAATCTTCGGCGGTGTGGTGGCCCTCTTCTCTCCCGTGCTCGTTGGTGCCCACCTCTTTGGCTTGGACAGCTACGAAGCTGCAAAGAGGGAGGCGTCCCAGTCCGCCCAGCCGGCCGCTCGGGACCCCTCGCCCTCATCTGACGACGCGGGCTTCTCGCCCATCGCTGACTACGGGGGCGATCAAGCCTGCGTAGTAGCCGAGAGCGAAGACTTCGTTCAGCCCGCCCCAGTCTCTTCTCCGCAGCAGGAGAGCGAGCCTCTGCTCACTTGAACTCTTCTTCTTCAACCCTTCCTTCAAACGTCTTTTGTTGATGTAAAACAAACAAATAAATAAGTAAAAGATGATGCAGGAGCCGCTACACGGTGGGTGTCTTGTCATTTTCAGAGCTGCAGGAAGGCGCGCATGAGGTCGGTGGTAGAGACAGTGCCGATGGGTCGGTTGCTGTCGTCAACGACCCAGAGCCTGTGGACTCGCGTGGCGACCATCTTGTAGATGGTCTCCTCGAGCGGGTCGTGTCGCTGGACCGTGAGCGGGTGGAGCGACCGCTCGCACCGGAAGTTCTCCTCCTGCGACGACCGCTTGTCCAGGAAGGCCTTCACCGGCAGCAGCAGGTCCTTGAAGTTCTTGCTCGTGATGCCCTACACCACACACAACACGCACATGTCAGACACCGCACACGCACACGCACACGCTGGCGAGTGTGTGTTACCTTGAGGTCGCTGATGCTGAAGTTGGCGACGATCTTGCCTTCGTCATCGACGACGGGGAGGGCGGTGATGCGCTTGTCGTGGAGGCGCTTGACGACGACGCTAGTCTGCTCGTTGGCCCGCGCCATCTGCGGCGCGACGCGGCCGATGTTGCACTCGTCGAGGGTCTTGCGTGCGATGGCGCCGATGAGGTGCATGTTCTGCGCCATGAACGCCAGCAGGTCGCTCTGCGTGAGCACGTTGATGATGTTGTTCTCCATGTTCACCACCGGCAGCCGATGCAGTCCCAGCCTGCCGCACACACACCGCCAAAACCGTGAGACACGACACACGACATTGGCACGACGGGCGAGGTACCAGAAGAGCTCGATGACCTTGGGCAGGAAGGTCTCGCGCTTGACCGGGTTGGAGGCGATGGGAAAGCCCTCGTACGTGTTGGTGGCCTCTGCACGTCAGCACACGTCAGCAGGGCTAGTCGACAGAAAATTGGAAGAAGACAAACACAAGGTGGGCCTCGTACCGATGACCTGGCCCATGGTGGTCTTGGCAAAGTGCTCGCCAGCCCACTCGACGGCGCTGGGGTCGTCGCCCTCCTTCAGCTCCGGCAGCACGCCCAGCATGCAGGTGACGATGTCGAACATGTCCACGATGCCCAGGAACTTGCCCTCGCTCACGTTCACCACCTTCAGCGCACGTTGAAACGAAGGTCAGACGCAAAGATTTGGAACAAAAGATGAAGGGAGGGCCAGAGGGTCGTACGGGGGCGGAGGAGATGCGCTTGTCGTCAAGGATGGAGAGGGTGTCCTGCACGTTGATGTTATGTTCGAGGAACACCACCTTGCGCTCGGGCAGAATATCAAACACCATGAGGTTATTCACGCGCTCCATCTTGTGTGTGTGTTGTTATGTGTTGGGGCTGTGCTGTGGTTTGTGTTGTGGCACTGCATGCTGGCGCTCTATTTTATGCGACACCACTATCCCTTCGTTTTTGTGTGAATTCTCCGCTAGTTCTTGTTGACAGTGTTGCATTTGTGTCGACACACGTGCTACAAACAACATCATTGGCCAAACTTGACAGAGTACGAGTTGCCCCCCTCGCCACCGTTTTGGTCGACCTTGAAGTTGTCCAGTGAGAGCCCAAACTTACCCAGCAAGCTGTTGCCCAGGTCCTTCAGTTGGCCTGTCGATGCGAAGAGCCGAGGCGAGAGACATGTCAGAGAGAGAGAGAGAGAGCACAGCGAGTAGCGAGGGAATGCAGCATGAACAGAGAATGTAGTACCGAGCATCTTCTCTTGTTCGCGCTGCTGTTGCTCTGCGATGGCAGCTGGCAGTCGCTGCTTTCCCTCCCGTGCCTGCCTGATTGAGCCATCCAGTGCCAGCACAGCTTCAAAGTCTGTATCGTCGAGGCATCACCATCAGCATGACCGCAACATTCGCTCCAGAAGAAGAAGGTGATGGTGATGATGCAAGTGCCAGGAGGTTCAAGACAAAAGAAGAGCGGCGGTACCTTTGAGGGCGTCTGTGAGTTTGTCGGTGCCCTCGTAGGCCTGCGCGCGTCGCACCAGCGCTTTCGTGTAGGTGGGATCGATTCGGAGGGCCTCCGTTGAGTCCTTTATCACTTCCGCATAGTCCTCCTGCTCACAATCACGATGCAACTCATGAGGTCTCGCCAGCAGGCCCCAGTGACGTGCGCGTGCGCGATGGCGCGCGTGTGCGGTGACAAGCTAGGCGTGGGGGTGGTGCGTGCGGCATTCGTACGGGGCTGGGTGTACACCCAGCAGCGACGCGACAGGCAGCGCGGTTCGCGTAGAAGATCGCACGAGAGGGGTGGAGCGGAGGAGCGAGCCTCAATGCTTGTGTGTAGTGCGCAGCTGCATCTTTATACTTGGCCTGCGCGTGTAGCCTATTCCCTTCGTCCTTTTCTGCCATGGCTGCCGCTACACGTTCCTCCTGTACAGTCGATTTTTGATTTATTACTGTAAATTCTAATATTCTAAACTCAAAATGATAAAAATCATTGAGTAATGAATGATGCGTGCCTCTGTCATGTGCGCGTAAGGATCCACCTCGTCCTCGCTTCTGTCTTCATCCTGGTCGTCCAGGATTTGGTAGGGCTTTGCCTCCCGTGTCGTGCTCGCGTCAGTGCGTGGCTCATCCGCCATCTTGTGTTGTATCTGAATTCTGAATTAAGCTGAAAGTCTTTTATGTATAAAAAATAAATAATATAAAATTACACGTGTTAGCGCTCGGTCGGTTCCTGGTCGCCAGCCAACAGTTCTTCCACATCCTCGGGACCCGACCTACCAATCCCTGGAGCCCCCCGTGATGAGGCAACGTACAACAACAGATGAGCCATGATGATCATCAGGCAAAGAAGAACTGGTGGTGGCTACCGGTGGCTTTGTGGTAGGCCAGCGGGTGCACGCGCGAGCCCAGCAGGAAGGTGAGCAGCACGGCGATGACTGCGCCCACGAGCGGACCCACGATGAAGAGCCACACCTCGTCCAGTGCCTTGCCGCCCGCCAGCAGCGCCGGCGCCAGCGACCGGAAGGGATTCATCGACGTGCCGCCCAATGGCCTGCACTCGCATTCCGCCACACAACGCAGTTCAGATCACACATCCGTGCCTGTGTCCGAGCCATCACCGCACGGCAGACACGACACGCGCGACACGCAAATATTGTTTGAGTACCCGCCGACGGTGGCCAGGGCGATCAGGGCAAGGCCGGTGGCGAGCGCTCCGTTGGGGCCGACCACCTTGGCGCGCTCGGCGACGTTGAGCACGATGAAGAGGAAGATGGAGGAGAAGGCGATCTCGAGTCCGAGCGCGGCCTGGCTGGTCATGCCCTCGGGAAGCGAGGCGCCGACGTCGCCCTCCGTGCCCAGGAAGCCCATCACCACCAGACTTCCCAGCATTGCCCCTGCCGCGATCTATAAGTTGCGTGTCGTGTGTCGTGTGTCGTGTGTCGTGTGTCGTGTCGACGAGCGCACCGACGAACTGGGCGGGGATGTAGTAGAGCAGTCGCCACCACTGGAAGGCGAAGCGGAGGGAGAAGGCCACCGACACCGCGGGATTGAAATGGGCGCCGGAGACCTGGCCGATGGAGAACACGAGGCCCATCACCAGCATGCCCACCGCCAGCGACTTGCCTGTATGTACCACAGATCCCACAGCTTGTTATGTTGTACAACAGCACGACTCACAACAACAAACAACAAGCAACAAGCACCAGAATGTGAGAACAAAGAGGCCAACGTACTGATGTCGGTGCTGTAGGGACTGGCACTGGCCAGGCAGCTGACGAGGACGAGGGCGAAGGTGCCGATGGCCTCGGCCATGCCGCGCCTGAACTCGGCGAGGCGGCCTTGGCATCGTTCGTGGCTCTTCCCACCGGGCAGGTACTCGCAGAAATCCATTTCCTCCATCTCTTCTTGTTCTTCTTCTACGTTCTTAATCCTCTTCTTCCTTCGTGAGTTCCTTTCCTCTTTGTGGCGTCCGTCTGTGTTGGAGTTCAGCTGTGCGGAACCACGACCGGAGGTTGTGGGCACCCACAGGGATTCCTCTCGACTTGACCCCCGGTTTGCTCTTTGTTTCGCGAGACTGATCAAGATGGAGCAGCAGCAGCAATGCGGACGTCTTCGGGGCAAGGTGCAGCTGACGCTCGCTGGCAGTGCCAGTAAAGATATACTCATCTCCCTGTGATTTCTTAATCTTCCACTACTCGATCTCCCCAGGTGGCCCTCGTCACTGGTGGCACATCCGGCATCGGTCAAGCCACTGTGGAGGCCTTTGTGAGGCAAACCACTCCCTCTCTTCTCCTGCGCTACTGCTCCTGAAGCATTACTGACGATTTGCTGTTGGGGGGGGGAGGTGCTACAGGGAGGGAGCAAGTGTGGCTTTCACCGGCCGACGCGCGGAGCTCGGAACTGAGCTGGCGACACGCTTGGGCGGCGCTGAGGCCGGCACGGTGGTGTTCATCGTGGCGGACCACGCTCGCCCGGAGGACTGTGCGCGGTGCGTGAAGGAGACCCTCGACGCCTTCGGCCGCATCGACATCCTCTTCAACAACGCAGGTTGGCAGCCGCTCTCGCTCGTGTCTTGTCGGCCAGTTGTGCAACTGATTGCAAACTGCTGCGTCGTGTCGTTGGTCGTGTGCGTGTGCGTGTCGTAGGTGTGGTGCTCTTGGATCGGACGGCGGAGCAGACGAGCGAGGACGAGTGGGACCAAGTGATGCGCCTCAACGTCACCGTACGCACCGACCTGGGATCCAGATGATATAGGAGCTGTGTGGTGGGGTTCGCACGGCGGCAGTGCTGATTCATCAGCGACGTGCGTAACGTAGGGCGTGTGGCGCATGTGCAAGGAGGTGCTGCCGGTGATGCGGAGTCAGGGCGCAGGCTCGATCATCAACAACGCGTCTGACTGGGGCCTCGTCGGCGGCCGCGACGCCGTGGCCTACTGCACCTCCAAGGGCGCCGTCGTACTCATGACCAAGTGATGCCCTCGTCCTTTTTGTTTCGCTTTCGCTTTCGTTTTCGTTTTCATTTGGCTAAACCAACCTTCATTGCGGCCCACAGGGCGATGGCACTGGACCACGCGCACGAGGGCATCCGAATCAACGCTGTGTGCCCCGGCGACACCTTCGTAACTCGGTGGGTCGACCGCGACAGGGAAAGGGTGCGCGCCACTCGGCATGCCCAGGTGCAGGCGAAACCCCAAAGGCGCTAATTGCGGAATTGTGTTGCGTGTGCGGTGTGTGCGGAGCCGCAGGTGTTGGAGCCTGATGAAGACCCGGCTACGGTGAGTGACGCGGAGGTGGAGATGCGACTCAAGATCAGCCACGAAATCCCCATGCACCGAGTCGGTAAGCCCTCCACCGCATCCACCGCACCACCACTTTTGGCTATGACGGGACCAGCGCGCTGATCCAAGTCCAACTCACTTCCTCCCTCGTATGCATATCAGGCGAGGTCAAGGAGATCGCGAGCGCGGTGCTGTTCCTGGCCAGCGACGAGTCCTCCTTCATGACTGGCGTGGCCCTTCCGGTCGATGGTGGTACGTAATGCAAACATTTTCTGGGATATTTCTAATAATATAAATAGCTATGTGCATTCATCTCACCCACACCCTCTGGCCCGTGCAGGCAATACTGCCCAGTGAGCCGCCCCTGAGCATCGGTCGGTGGTGGTGTTGAGAGCCGCGATTTTTAAGGTGGCTGCAACCTGTCACGCCTTGCTGTCGTCGGCTGCGGTCGGCGCCTGTGCTCGTCGCGTCATATCAACAAAGAACTGATGCCACCGCGCATCGTCCGTCAACTCGGGGTGGAACGCCGTGCCCAACAAGCGCCCCTGTCGTACCGCCACTATCACCTCTGCTCTCGCGCAAGCCACGTGACGCCACGTCAGCACTCAGCTGTCGGCTTCGCCGGCAACAAGATGGACGTTGATCAAGAGTGGTACGTACCCTTGTGCTCGGCGTCGGTCGGCTTCGCGGGGACCGAGGCGAGGACCTCCACGTCGGGCGAGTGGACGGCGGTGACGGCCGGCGCGCGGATGAAGACGGCGGGGAAGGGTCGGTCGCCGTCGGCCAGCGCGGGCACGGTGAGCGTGTCGGCCACGAACGAATCCAGCTGTCGGCCGAAGTAGTTGCGCGCCGTCGAGATCTCGAACCCGCCCAGCACCGCCTGGCCGCCCGCCTTCTGGCCCTCCACATGATTGGACATCATGATCAACCCCGCGCACGTACCCCACACCGCCTGCACAACGCACGCATTGCAGTCAGCCATGGCGCACGCGCACGCGCACGACCGCACACGCACACGCACGACCGCACACGCCGAACCTTGCGAGGGTGGCGGATGAAGGAGCGTAGAGGCTCGAGCAGGCCCGAGGCCTCGGCGATGAGGGCTATGGCGGTGGACTCGCCGCCAGGGATGAGCAGCCCGTCCACGCTCTCCAGCTGCGCAGACGTGCGCACTTCGACCACCGTCACGCCGGCCAGCGACTTGAGCTTCTCCACATGCTCCCTGAACGCTCCTACAGAAGAAGGTGTCACATATTTATTAATATTTATTTCTATATTTCAAATTATTAAATTATTAAATAATTAAATAATTAATAAAAATACCCTGCAGAGCGAGCACGCCGATGGTGATGTGCTGGTGATGTCCCTTGCCGGACAGGTTCTGGTCGTGTTCAAGACTCGACATGTTGTGTGCTTTGCGACGGAGGGTTGAACTAATAAATATAATTGAGAGATAGGTCCGGCAGAAGTTTGCGGGGAGGTGGCTTCTTCGTCCTCCTCTTCTTGGTCCTTCGAAGTTGTTGGGTGAGTTGCTTACCAAAAGGGCTAAATGTTTTGTCTCCTCTCTTGCGTTGGCTGCGGTCAAGTCCGAACAAAGAAATAAAGAAATCAAAAGAGAAATAATGATATCTGAAAACCGCCAATGGAAATTCAGACCGGATTCAAATTCCGCACATTGCAGGCCTCCTATTGGCGCTGACATGGGCTTACGTCTGTGCTCGTCGGGCCGTGTCTCAAGGAGCGAGGGGCACCACTCACCCTCTTCCAGGAAGGCTGGGGCGGAGGGAAGCGGTGGGTCACCCACGTCAGTGGACTTACCATTAGGGGCCTTCTTGGTTCGTCATTTGAGGGCGGGCGTGACCCTGGTTCTCGTCTTCTCACCATCAGCATTACTTCACCATCACCGACCGGACTCACAAGCCAACTCCACCCGCTTGAGGAAGACACCATCGTCGCCATTTAACAAGCAGCTTGCACGTAGAAGAAGAAGAAGAAGAGTACGACATGGCCACCACTACACCTGCAGGCAATGGGGTTGAGAATGGTACCATTCCCAGCTTTAGCCTCTCAGTTCACCGTAGTCTTGTCGAGTGCATCTTTTTCCAACGTAGAGGAATGACGAAACGTAGCCACAAATCTGGCTACTGGTGAATCGTCGTGATCTCTCAAGCTTGCCAGAAAGAAAGAGGAGTGGCGAAGATCAAAGATCCAGTGCGCTGATGCGAATCGCAACAATTAATTAATCGACAACCACAGGACGCGGATCGTTCAAGGTGAAGGCGGGACTGGCGCAGATGCTCAAGGGCGGCGTGATCATGGACGTCATCGATGCCGAGCAAGCGCGCATTGCCGAAGAGGCCGGCGCCGTTGCCGTCATGGCCCTTGAGAGGTGCGCCTTGCCTCCATCAATCCGCTCCATCAATATTCCGATTTATTCTTTTTGTATTTATTTGATTATTTAATTAATAATTTTATATTTCCACTGTTTAGAGTGCCCGCAGACATCAGGCGAGACGGCGGAGTGGCCCGCATGAGCGACCCGTCGATGATCAAGAGCATCATGGAGGCGGTGTCGATCCCGGTCATGGCCAAGGTGCGCATCGGCCACTTTGTCGAGGCGCAGATCCTGGAGGCCGTCGGCGTCGACTACATCGACGAGAGCGAGGTCCTCACCCCGGCCGATGACGAGAACCACATCAACAAGCACAACTTCGGCGTCCCCTTCGTCTGCGGCTCACGCAACCTCGGCGAGGCCCTGCGTCGGATCAGCGAGGGCGCCGCCATGATCCGAACCAAGGTACCGGCTGCGCGTGTCGTGTCGTGTCGTGTCGTGTGTTTGGGCTCACGCGATGTGGTGCGTAGGGCGAGGCCGGGACGGGCAACGTGGTGGAGGCGGTCAGGCACGCCCGAACTGTGAACGGCGAGATCCGCAAGCTGACGACCATGGACGAGAACGAACTCTACACCTACGCCAAGACCATCGGCGCCCCGATCGACCTGGTGCAGCAGACGGCCAAGCTGGGCCGCCTGCCCGTCGTCAACTTCGCCGCCGGCGGTGTGGCCACCCCGGCCGACGCCGCCCTCATGATGCAGCTCGGTACCTTCCTTCATCGTCTTCTTTATCGATCGTCGACGTCGACGTCGACGAAGCGCTAACTTTACCACACACGACACACACGACACACGACACACACGACACACACGTCGCGTCGGATCGGGTCTCGCTAGGAATGGACGGCGTGTTCGTGGGTTCGGGCATTTTCAAGAGCGGCAACCCGGCCAAGCGGGCGCGAGCGATCGTGCAGGCGGTGACCCACTACAAGGACCCGCTCGTGCTGGCCAAGGTGTCGGAGGACCTGGGCGAGGCCATGGTGGGCATCAACTGCGACCAGATGGGCGAAAAGTGGGCCAAGCGGGAGAGCGGCGCCGCCACCCCATCCAACGCCCACCAGTAGTAAATACCAACACAAATAACAAAGCCTTTTTTTAAAAAAAGAAAGCCATTTATGAAAAGAAAAAGATGAAATTAAATCAATCAGATTTTAGTGTTGACTTAGCGTTGGGTGATGGACACGATTTGGCCAGAGGCTTGGATGTGCAGGTGATCGATCAGCAACACAGTGCCCAAGACAGCATTGCGCTCGAACGGCTCCACATGCACATAGCCCTGTGCGTTGGACCTGATTAGTGCTACTCCTCCCGCTGAATGATGTCCGAATCTCAAATTGGGGCGGGCGGGGGTGTACAAGAGGCTTGATCAGTACAAGGGTGATCACTCCCTTGCGCACCTTGACCCCTGCTTGTGCTCCTTCACCATCCTCAACCTTTTCCTCCTGCCCCTCCTCGTTCCAGCACTTGATCACCTGCTCCACCCTATCATCGTCGTGTGTGTGTTGTGTGTGTTGTGTGTGTTGTGTGTGTCATCGTGTCATACCATCAGCAGACCCATGGCGGTGGTGGTAGG